GCATGCTTGCATCATGCACCATTAGTTTCTGTTAGAGTACATTCTGAGTAGAGTACACAAAGACGAACCAAACGGATAAACGTGCACTCTCACACTCCCTCTTCTGTTCAATTTAGAGTCACTAATTAACTAAACAGGTGCGTTTTTGGATTGTGAGAGACCAAACCTCCCCGCCAGCTCATTAATAAGTTGAAATTGGTCAGCAAACCTGAAAAAAAGCGGTTAACATATTCTCAGAGTTGTTAGGATTTGACCCGTAGGTTTTTATGCGAGTCATTAAACTCACCACTTCCTCAGTTTGTCCGACAAGAATTCACGTCCCGCTTATCTTTTTCTGATAAGCGACGTTGTAAATAGATGAACTCAGGACTTGTGTGTCTGTGTGGAGGCACGTGAATGAGTCATGTGTACATAAGCGGAAGCGAAATGACAAAACGCATGTGTGTGTGTGCGTTTGCACCTGCGTCCCTGGGAGGAAACACCTGCTGCGTAGTGTCAGAGACCACCTGTCGGACTCCGTTCTGCAGCCGACTAACCAGTTTGCAGAGCCAGAGACGGTCTGTGTGAGAAGGAACAGCTGTCCGGTTCAATGTGGATTCAAAAAGCAGTCGATCAGATACGGGAGCCACAGGAAATCTCCTCAACACACTGGAAGTAACAGGTCAACCAGGTCTTCACAGACGTGGTAAGCCTAGAGATTGTAAAGGCAACACACCAAAGTGGAAATCACCAATGACATGAAAAAATAACTAAATTATCTTGAAAATCATAGCTGAATACAACATGTATTTTTGCTTTTAGGAAATATTTCTAGAATATTTCCACATAAAGCATGGCATAGGGGCATAGTACATACAAGCTAATCTAGATAGCTGTAGCTATTTTATCCAAAGTTAATTGTAGTAAATGAATACCCAAAATAATCAAATTAGATGATTGCTTTGACGCTTGCATTATTTGATTTGATTTAATCTTGTTACAGTTACAGCACTCTGTTATGGTTAAGAATATTTCTTTAAGAAAAATCTTTATTTCGCAAAGTGAATAAAACAAGTTATTTTAGTCAAATCGGACTTCAGTTATCAATAATCAATTTGATATTCTTTAATGAAGACAAGTCACATTTATTTTTAGTTGTGCATAAAAAATGATTTGATAGTTGTCATTTTAGTGTTTCTTTACTTTGATAGGCAAATCTAAACAGCACTGGTGTATTTATTCCAGGTTTTTAAGCACTTTACACTACTATCAACATCACCATTACTTTTGTTGCAAAGGTTATTCACGCTATTATTATTGCAACATTAGCCAAACTGGGGCTAAAAATGTCAGCGGTATCAGTGTCTTTATTTTATGTGTTGTTCCTTATCTTGTCTGTGTTATCCATAATATCCTACTGGGATTTACCATAATGATTAACCTTGTGGACTGTTGAGATCTGTTGATCTACAGCTGGACTTCACATGTATGTATTACTTGCATGTATTTAGCTTTGCTATTGTCTTTGTGTTATTGTCAACTTTGTTTTTGCATAATTTCATCATTAGGTTTTTGGAACAGTTCATTAGAATGACATGTATAGTAAAAGATGCAGATTTATATGCACTATCCTAGCTGACAAAGGGTGAGAGGTGGGGTACACCTTAAAAGGGTTGCCAATCTAACTGGATTTAGTACACATAAATTGAGGTTTTCAGATCACATTGCATTTTTAAGATTATGATTTGATTGCAGCAGAGTAACAGCAAGTTAACATCTAGTTTTGACACAGATTTACAGAGAATAAATGACAAAAAGTAAAAGCAGCTTCTTTTTTTACTGTTTTCATGGAGATTTAGAATTTTACTCTTTTTTTCCCTAGAGAATACACAACTTTCTCACTCTTTTCTCATTATTCTTGACTCTACCCATCCACCGAGGGCCTTGAATCTCATAACACATATACAACCAGGGATCATTTGACTCCCAATTGGATTACCTTTCTGTCAGTCTACAGTGGATTTTTTTTTATTTTTTACAATTTGTATGTGACTAACGTGCTTAAATGTTTATCACCCTGACCAGCACAGTGATTTCTTCATATTCAAGTGTTTTGCTGACTCTAAATAGAAAATTATTGGATTTGTGTAATCTAATATCATCTGTCAGACTTCATTTGATGTGGCCCTTACAAATATCTCAGAATGCAATGCCTGATTGACAGTTTGAACACAGAGTATCTACACTTAAAAGTCATTCATTGTGTCATTCAAATGTTCATTGTATTTGTATCACGTTTATTCACAATTGAACTTGATTGTTTACACATTTGCAATGAATCACAACTGAAATAAACATGAATTGTGTCTGCTTTGTAAGCGTCTGCTAATGTATAAACATAAAATATAAACATAAGTAATGATTAGCAAGGATAAAAATGATATTTTCAGGAAATAGTTATCCTCACTCTTTGCTACTTTACTCAAGAATCAGGAAAATAAAAGACAGTAGGTGAAAGAGATGTGTATCACGGACATACTGCATAAGGAATGACATGAACAAACTCTTTTGGCTAATCAAGCGCTACGATCAATACCACAAAACAAAATAAATCTAGGCAATATTGGTGAATAGGACAAGACTGTTATCAAATTAATATGTAGATCAAAGGTTATCTTCTGTGCTCTGAGCAAATACATGCCCATTGTGTTAAGATTTAAGATTTTAATCAAATTATACATCACTATGGTCTCTTTTGGGCTGCCTGCCAGCATGAGACAAAAATTGACTTGTCATTTGCCAAATTTGAATGCTTTACATTCCTTTTCACCATCGTGACCGCATTAATTTACACCACAAAAATGTATTGATTGACGTTAACGTGGGCGGATGAAGAATTTCTTGTTGCTGAAACATGCTACCTTTGTGCTTTTGACTGAACAGAATCCATACTTATGTAATCTAAAATGGATTACTATTTTACTTTCAAATGAAAGGCTCAAAGGGCAAGCAGAGCACCGATGTGGTTAAAAGCTTATTTGTGCCTTAAGCATTAAAGATTGTATTTTTATAGGTTGCAAAGAGAGTCATTGTCAGAATTGCATGATTTGATAAGGGCAAACCCTGCTGATCCAGGTAGGACATTGCTTCTGACAGACTTATAAATACTTACTGCCAACATTCATGACACAGTTTGTTTCTGACCACAAGGAGGGATTTCGTTCTCCCAAATACAGACAAGATTCAGCTATAGATTTGTGAATGTCTGACTATGAGGTGAACTTTCTTGCAGATCCAGTACCAATGTTGATTTAGTTGTTGTTGAAGACATAATAATTTGTTTTATACAGTTACATGCTAATACAAAAAACATCAGAATTGAAAGATGGTATATTTTTTTCCTTTTTTTTTTTAACACATATGTGCCTTATAAGTCTTTATAAGTCTTAATGGTGATTTGTTCCTGATCTGCTTTTCGAAATTCACTTTCAGCCATTAATGTATTTTTAATAAAGATGATTGGAAGTTGCAGAAACAGTGCAGACCCCAAATCGGAACCGAGGAAAAGCTCTCAAAGTGATAGGTGAAAAATCCTTAAGTTGGCAAATTGAAAAGAAATATACTTTTTTAAATCACTAAATGTACTCCATGCATTGGTGATCAGCTGATCTTGGCTGTAGTATCAAGGCTGGAACTCTTTATCAACCACTTTCAAACTGGCAGGTCTCCAGAAATAGCTAACAGATAGGAAATGACATGTTTCAGACAGTGAAACTCTGCGCGGTAAACAACAAGAACGATAATAAAAACAGGGGAAACTTGGAGACAACAGACCACTTTGTTTACCATCCTGGACTTGGGATAAGGAAAGAAAAATCAGCGAACTTCTCAACACAGTATAATTAGCTCTTTTTTCCTTTATTTGATCATCATGAAGTTGGTTATACTGGCTGTCCCCCTGGCTTTGCCAAATAAAGGTACCTAAAACGGATAAATAAGATTACTTAACGTTGGATTATTTCAGAATGTGAAAAAAAAACATTTAATTGTGCTGTTTGTGACATTGCAGAAGTTTAGAATATTCATACATATGGCTGAATGTTGAAAAAATAGCAAGGAGACGATGTTCCTATCAGATTCCAATTTAAAATAAGTAAGGAGAAATTTATTTTTTTGGTGTAAAAACTGATTCTATGTATTTCAGATTTCTTATCGTTGCTACATCAGTTTCTAATCTGAATGTCAGTAGAGGGTGCTAACACTCCTGTTTCCTGCTGGCGGACCAGTAAGAAGCAGCTCAGGTGTCCCTAACTAAAGACAACATCAGCTCCACTCTGCATGTGCTTAGAGATTATTTATGATCCTTATTTAAGAACCGAACCCTTGTCTACACTGGTTTTATACAAATTATTTACATTTTTGCTCATTAATCTTGAAAATAACGTTATTTTTCATTTGGAATCAGAAGCAAAAAGACAAAAAAGTTCAATAAAACGTAAAATTAAACTTTTGCAAACTTGATCAAAAAGCAAACTGATGCTGAGGGGGTCGTAAAAACGTATCCACAATCCATCAGGCGTAACTCTCTTCATTACAGCTCCCGCCTCGACTTACGATTGGTTCGGATGTGTAATTGTTCCATCCAGACGAGCCGTGATTGGTCCGCTGAGCCGTCGTCCAGTGCTCTGGGCAGCAAACACGCACCGCTACTCCTCTTCCCCAGCTGCTTAGTGCGTCGACCGTTGGAGGGGGAAGAAGCAGACTTTTTTTTTGCGCGTGTCTTGTGCGTCCCTCGGACCAAAACAGTAGCAGCAGCAGTAGAGGAGCGCGTTTTTTTTTTCCTTCCTCCAGACCCCTGAAAGGCATTCCCGGTAGCAGCCGTGCATGCCTCGGACACCAGGAGGAGGAGGATATAGCTCTATTTTTTTAAAAAAAATCTTCATTTCTTTTTTATTTTGACGCACTGAGGTTTATGTATTCGTCTTTTTCCTCATGATAACCAACACTCAGCGGTCAGCGACATGTGGACTAATCCGGGGAAAGTGCATCGCTCCGTGCTAGTGTGTCTATTCCTCACGCTGTGGGCCGAGGTGAGAACTTTATCTGATTTTGGGGTATCGGACGCAGAACGCAGATCTTTGGCCCCGGTTTAATTTTTTTTTACTAATCGACCAAAAGTGTCTTTTGCAGGGGGTTAAATTCCAGCCTTAATTGAATTGCGTGCCCACGACCGAATCATGTGATGTGGAATCTCCAAATTCGCGCTTCCTTCAGGGGATAAATGAGTGTAGTAGTTTCCAAAATTCAGAATAGTCTTTTTTTTTTGGAGCTCCAATGCGTTTTTTTAATGTCAAATGAGACAGTTTATCTAGTTTTATAGCGATATAAAACTTTTGTCACGCAAACGTCCACTTGTAGAACATAGTTACCTGCCAAAAATAATTTCCCACACAACTATATGGAAAAAAAAACGTGTGAAAAAGCTTCACAGGTTAGCAATGCACCTTCACGTGCCGCAAGAAATAGCCACAACCCTTTAACCAAACCGACATAGAGGAGTTTTTTTTTAAGAATTATTGAATTGTTTACGATTATTTTGCGGTAAATAGATAGATTTTGTATCAAACTCCAAACCAGTTACTGGCATGGTTGATATCTTTGTAGTGCACAACTGCAACCCGAACTGCAGAGTGAGCTAAATTGGAGCACTGTCTCGTTATTCATCTGTGCCAAAGTGTACAGTAGTGTGGGGGGGGGGCGGGACGACTATCTTTCTGATGCAACAAAACAAACAAAAACACAGAAATCATATTTGGAATGACTTGATATGATACGATGACAAACTTTTCTTCCAACTACAACACCCCTCGTTATTCAGAAACTACTGTTTGAGAACGTGACATATCTTATTAAGTCATATTTAGAATGATTTGATAGGCTATATATGATACGATGACAAACTTTTTTCTAACTACGATACCCCTTGTTATTCAGAAACTACTGGTTGAGAACGTGACATATCTTATTAAGTCGTTTGTAGGCTTATTCATCTGGAACATCCCAAAAAGGTATCAAGTAAGGATTCTTAATAGACTTAACTTCACACCTAAGCGTGTTTTTTTGTGTCCCCCTCAAGGTATCGCAGTCCACGGGTTACTTTGAGCTGCAGTTGCTCTCGGTGGAGAACCCCAGGGGTCAGCTGCTGACCGGTGACTGCTGCGATTCTGAGAAGAGCGCGTCGGACGGCTACTGCGGCGCGGACGAGTGCGACACCTTCTTCAAAGTGTGCCTAAAGGAATACCAGGCCGAGGTCGCGACCAGCGGACCGTGCACGTACGGCTCGGAAACTACCAAGGTTATCGGTGGGAATACTTTTCAGTTGAGGGGCGGCCAGAAGTCCGGCCAGAACCGGAACGGCGACGCCGGGAAGATCGTCATTCCGTTCCAGTTCGCGTGGCCGGTGAGTGGACCCGTGGCGCTGAAAAATATGAGTAAAGAACATTTATAATTTATTAAAGTCACGTGAGGATGCCTCCTCCGTTCTGGCCCGCTTAAGGCGACTTCATATTGAGTAATTCAATGTCAAAGTTAAAATCAGACGATACGTAAAAATGGCATTTTCCGAGAGGAAAACGCGCATAGATGTACTCTTATTACCACCTGCGTGCCAGTTTGGTTAATTTTTGGTGCGTCTACACAATCAGTGAGTCCATTAGTTTCTGCTGTGGGAGTTTGTGAGTGAACAGCCATGGATTCCTGACTAAGGCAAAGCCCTGAGTGCGCATGACGCGCGACTTTTACGCACGGGAACGTTGCAGTTGTGTCTCGGTTTGATGAGTTACCAAACAATCCGTTTGTTTGTGTGTGTGTCGTCAGTGCAAGCGGGAAGAGGATAGGGTGTGTGTGTGTGAGTGTGTGTGTGTGTGTGTTATGCCGCTGTTTGGTGGAGGGAAAATAACGGATTCTCAAGCACCGTTGATTATGAAGTGCCAGGTAACTCATTATCTAATCTAAACAGCAATGAGCCAACCCAAAAGAAACCTTCTCCCGCTCATATGGAGAGCCAGAGTGGGAAACCGGATCAGTGCTGGCCATCAGAGCCGCCATGAAAGTGCTGTTTACAACATCCGATCTTCATCAGGGAGGCTTCATGATCAGAGTGACTGCCGTAGAGGGAAACATCACAAGTCTGATTCCCAAAACAGATGAATGAGCTGTTAATATGATCCTCGGTCACTGTAAACCACACAAGAGAGGATTTAACCAGACGATGAAAGGAGCCTTATACACAAACATTAGTTATAGAATATTAGTGTGGGCCAGTGTTCAGAATGTTAATTAGTCAAACAGCAGAAAACATATTGATTTTGCTTCTTATACTTTGTGGTTTACCACATGCTGAAACATATCTGTCATCCCAAAGATCTTTAGTCTTATTTCAAGGTTCTGAACAATAGAAAAAATGTAAAATACAAAAAAAAACAAGACGATGGGTGGTTTTCAAATTAAAAGTTTGGGGCCTTGAGTACAGGAAATATCCAATGTATTATTACGCTGACAGTTATTATTTTGGACTTAAACAGCAATAGTGTTGTGGTGTTGTTTTACCATTGTTTTTTGTGTTCAAAACCAACCATTACGTCGAAGAAATTCATTAATGAAGATATATATAAAAGAAAAAACTGTTGAAGTAATTGTGTATCATCGCAGCTAAATATATACATGAAAGCATGGAGACCCCTTCCATGTGTTCATGTCAGAACGAACATATCGGGCGCATTGTGTTGCTCGACTGGTTACATGACCTCCTCATTCATCACTCCCCATGGTCAGCTGTCAGCGGAGGGGAAGATGGAAGTAGTAAGTTGGGGCCCCCGCGGGCAGATACGGTTACCACTAAGTTGTATGTGACACAGGCGGCGGGTATCGGTGTCACCAACCACTCAAACAAGTGAAGATCCCCGGTCAATCTGGGCCGGGGATGCCTTTACCTCCCGGGCTCTCAGGTTCACGCTCTGTCCGTTATTGGGTCATTGTCTCACTCGGCGTGTGTGTGTGTGTGGGGGGGTCAGTAATTTCCACTATCTGCCCGGGTTGGTGAAGGAGCGTGTATGCTAGTTTGCCACTATTGGCAGCACTTTGTTAAGGACTTTTTTATATTAAAATAGACAATAAGCAAATAACTTCTGATAAGGACTGTGAAAACTGTAGATAAAAGCTGTTAAAAGGCTCATGTGCTGACGATAAAGTCTCATTCACAACAGGACCAGCTGCTATATAAACACACTAACAACATTGTGTGCATCTGTGACCGCTGATTGAAAAGGGACATTTTAATTTGGTCTCATCACTCTAAACGAGAGTACTTTCTTTTTAACTTGAGCTCATCATTTGTCAAATGTTGAAGTTTGGATCAATTTTAATACTTGAGTTATGCTTGTTATGTTGAGGCCGATCATTTTAACACGCTGACAGGTTTCAAGTTAGAGAGATACCAAAGTTACACAAGCTGCAGAAATACATTAATTCCCTTTCTTTTTTTTTTTAGTATTGCTTAAATTCAAATCTGTAAAGTGAAGTCATGCTTAACTCAAATTTTAAACCGGTGGACTGATTTATCGAAACGTGAAAATGCAGCAGTTTTATGCAATAATTTGAACTTGAATGTTAGTATTTTCACGAGTACCTGAACACATCAGAGTAGCCTGAACATGCATTCCAAAGGGATGCGGGCATCTTTGGATGCTGCCTGCCCTTAACGCCAACCCCTTCTCTGTGAAGATGATCCCAGAGTACTTTGTTATCTTTGGAGGATTTATCCCTCTCTAAGACCTGTTGCTAAAATTTGGCTTAAATTTTGGCTTAGATCTGGCTTAGATTTTACCCTACTTTAGAGATATCTTCTTGACATCTCATTTGCAATGACACAATTTCTTATGGGCCTTCAGGAAACAACAGAAGGATCAACTGAATGACTGTCCCTCGGTTCCTATGGCAGGTAGTTGAAGGATTTTGCTCCATATTCTTAGGGGACCGATTTTCAAAGCACACTATGCTGGAGTATGCCACATGTATTGACCAATAGCTCTTATGTATCACCCGGTTGGGAATGAAGGAAATGACACATATTAGTACTAATAATAGTGATACAAATAATTAGTACAGATATTGATATAAGCTTTATCAATAACATTGCAAAAGCTTTTGTACACCAGAGATTCTTTTATCTTACATACAAGTCTACTAACATGGCTTTGATTATGAGGATGATAGGAATGTTGGCATTGATAATGCCTTAGACTAAGGTTAACTAATGTTTCTCAGTCTCTTTGTTTTGCCCTAGCATGCCAGAATTTCACAAGCAGTTTTTCTAACAGAGATCGCTTTGTGAAAAGCATTGGCTCGTGGCCTCTGGTGCTGCTATAGTGGACGCCATCGTTTGGCTTCAGTATCCCTGACATGAATTTACTGCAAAAAAAAAGCACATTGTTCTCCCTTTTCTTCATCTTCGTCACTGATCATTTCTCCTTAGTGTTATCGCCTTAAGCTGTTTGGGTCAGTAGTGGCATGTTTTTTTTCCCCAAACAAGTATGGGGGTTTGAATTGGGCGATAAAAGGGAGGGAGAATGGAGTGATAGTGGGTCAGAGAGAGAAAGTAGTTCCCCTTAAAAAAAGGTTCCTGTCACGAGGGAGAAGTATTTTTGGGCTTTAAGACTTTTAAGATAATGCTTTTTTTTAAGCTTTTTTTTTACTGGAACAAAAACAAGCATTTACTTGTCTTCCTCCTCTCCTTCTCCCCCTCTCACCCAAACCTTCCCCCCCCCAGCCCACCATCTCCTTCTCCCTCTCTCCTTATGGGGTATTTTTAGAGCCGCTGTCCTCCCCTCACCCCTCTGTGAGTAAATCAAGGATCAAGACTGCGTACTTCTTCAGTTTCATAGCCCACTTTTTTCCCCTCTCTGCTCCCGCTCTTGCCAGAAATTTCCTCTTCGGACTGGCAGTGATGTGAGGACAGAGGTGGAACAGCTGCTCTTTAAAGATCTTCGCTCCTTTTAGAATGATTTTTTTGGGGGAAACAGTATCACAAAAGCAGGCCAAGATTGCGTATCTGAGAGGCGTATCAGTAAGCAATCACCGAGTGCAATGTTGGATGACAGCACGTCACTGTATTCCTCGGTACACCTTCGTTGCCATCACCACCGGAGAGTTCGGCTCGGTTGGCTCATTTGCAGAGTGCACACTTGGCGCTTTGCGTTTTGCCGATTCGCTTTTTGGTTGATTGGTTTTTGGGGGAAAGAGGATAGAAGGATAGAACACCTACCTGGTTGGATGTGTAGGGTTGCTGTGTGTTAGGAATGCAATATTAACAAAAAAAAGTACTTTTCTACAGTTGTTTCTCACTCCTAACAGACTATGATTGGGATAGCTCAGAAGTAAAGATGACATAATTGGATAAAATTATGTTATCAATTGTTAAAACTGGGATATGGCTTGAAGACTGGATCATGTTTGAGCAAAAATAGTTAAAGATAAGATGCCCGAACAGAGGAAAAATGTGCGGTTTTGTGTCTTGGTTTGTGATATGTTCTCTCTGTGTATATTTCACAAGATAAAATGCCTCCAAGATGACGTTACGAGGCGTAACCTTGGTCAGCTTAGCGGCCAAAAACAAAGCCCACCATCTTTCCCACACTGGGTTCGGGTCAGATGACTTGGTTCTGGTCCAAAGCGTGCAAATGTGTGTTCAACTGATCTGCCTGGCCGGCATATTGATTATCGATGCTTCAGGTAGAATCGAATTATGTGTAACCAATGTGTCCACAGGGATAGCTTTGTATGCTGGCATTCATTACGTCTTTAGGATATATGTACATGTAAATATGTCAAACCAGCAATAACAATGGTCTGTGTTATTTAAGTGGATATTAAGTTCCTTGAAATGAAGTGCAATAAACTGAACATCGAATAAAAATGTCTATCAGGCTATCATGAAAATCGTATTACTACTCTTATGACAGTTTAGACAATAACTGACATTTGATGGAATGTCACAACATTCACACATAACATGGAGGCTGAACATTGTGGGTTTTATTTGTCTGGTGTCCACTAATATGGTAATTATGTGGTGTAAAAACACTAGTATTGTTGCCATGGATACCAGTGGATCAATATACACTGAGCAGTGATTCAGAATGGGAGTGAAAACTGTGTAATCAGCGAGAGAATATGACCGAGAATCCCATAAAAAAGGTTTTACAAATTGGAAAGTAATTTCCGTTGATCTTTTGTTGTTTTGTTTGGTCAATTAAGCTTTACAGTTATTTCCCAATTCACCCTTTTTGATGTGAGTTGGGTAGAAGTTAGGTAGAATACTCAGATGATATCGTAAAATGCATTTGATGGTTGCTTTTTTTTTACACCCAGCACTGTGAGTGGGATGTAAGCCTGCAACTTTTC